GTCTGTCACAGAACACTATTTGCTTTCCTTTCAAACATTTATGTGTACGTGCAAATGATTAAAACATGCGACATTAATATGACCTAACGATTTATATTTTAGTATGTGTTAAAATATTCATCCAATTAAATCATATAAGCGGTGATAGATTATGTGCAAAACATATTAAAGAACAAGACAAAATTAAGGATAAACAGAAGAACATACGAGGATGCTGAACAAAACCAAATGATACTATGAACTATATGGATCTTATATCGAATATAATTTATATATTTATTTTAAGGTATGTAGATATATATATTCTATATTAAAAATAATCATATAAATATAAATAAGAATACTATCGCAGTAAAAGACTATAATATATTATATATAGGATGTCTCTGAGGTTTGAAGTTGTTTTCTTATTTGTGTACATAGAATACACTGATACTGTTTGGCCAAAAAAGTCTCAGGCACCCTATATATTAATAATATTATAACAAAGTTTTGTTTAAATGTTCTTGTTTATATGAGCGTATCAATTTTAATGTTAAGTACAATGCATTGATATGTGGTTGAAATAAGCAGAATCTCATTATTAAACCTTTGCAACCTACAAAACACTCATCGCAGTAACAGCAAGTATCCAAATCAGCAACATCTCGAATGCCTGATACTGATTCTGGATTTCTTCCATGTTCGTAATAACGCCACTTTTTTAAACGCCACCAATCCTTTAGCCATGTCCACTCCATCGTTCTTTATTCCATAAAGTTTACTCTCGGATTCACAGATGATTTTAAATATGATTCTTTTTTTTCCACAAATAAGAATTTTATTTCTTAAAATGTTAGATACTATTCGATGACTGTTATATCATTTAAAAAGTTTCTTATTTATTTTTAACGCGCTTAAAAGAAGTTAGAATAAATTCAATATGCATAGGTAGATTACAATCATTATGTATTAGAATATTTTGTTTTGTAGTCAGAAATAAAAAGAAAACTATATAACAATTATCGAATCATAAGTAAATATTTATTTTTATAATAGTATCTCGAAAAAGTTCTTTCATTTGAACATATTTAAAATAAATAATAAAAATTAGTTGAATTGGTTATTTACTCACTCACAATATGTATAGTTAAAACATACCATTATCTTATGACTTCATTCTTCTGAGAATTAAATAAAGTTTTTTTATTACTTCATATCTTTATATATTTATTATTATAATCTTGTTTTGCTTCAAATAATTATATTTCATTAATCTTCACAATCACATATAAATTTTATTTTTATAAATATCTCATTAGAAACATTTATATTTAAACTTAGTTTGATCAATAATTATATGGTCATTCTGAATATTGAATGTGACATTTAAAATCGTGTCAAGGTATATTACTTATATATTTTATCTATTAAATTAACGTTATCTTGATAGATATCAAATCTTACTTTATTGTGATGTTACTTTAAAAATAGTATTAGAAAGGCATTCTATAAATTAGATTTAATTAACACGTGCATCATTATTTTTAAATATAGCCGCGCAAAAAATTAGAACATTCTTACGCTTGCTTCGATATTATAGCAACTGGCGAGAAGTAAATGTTAGATCGTACGCGAGAAACTATCAACGTAGAAACTAATCTATGATTCAGCTGACATTTTTACTATTACTATACTTCTGTTTATCTTTAGACGGTAATGGTGTACAAAATATAGCAGAATGAATTACTATGTAGAGTGATTATTGCAAACACAATTTGAAATTATATAATTGAATACATATGGCACACAGATACTAGAAAAAGTATAATAATAATAATAATAATAATAGTACCAATAACACTCCTCAAAGAGATAAAAGATAATATATCTTATGTCTCCTATTGTCAAATAAATAAAAAAGAAGGCACAATTGTTAAGGAAAAATAAGTCTTACAATTAATAATAATAAATATCAATTACACTAAAAACATAAAAATCTTGCAATAAATTACATTAATCTATTACTTATGACCATGAATATATATTGTATTGCATCTATAATATATATTATCAAAGTTCTGGAAATTTTATTTAATTTTATTCATTAAACGACACATACCATTGAAATATTGTGCTCATCAAATCTCTGCATAACTAAACTCATAGATCTCATTTAATATCATTTGTAAAGCTTATAATTATTATAAGCTAATGAAGATTATAGTCATATTATATTTAATTTACTTATAAGCCTTATCAATACTTCTTTCATAATTAATAAGATAAAATATTTTGTAGTTAGAGATATATCTATCTCTTTATATAGAAATTATATCATTTTCATAGATTAAAATGTTTCGTAATAAAAAAACTTTAGTAATACTATTCATATGGAATTAATCTTAAGTAGATATAATAAATACTTTATGTATCTTTGCTAACTATACAAATATCATAAACCTTGATTAGCAATTCATAAGTACATAATACACACTGATAACAGAATAAATATAATGAAATATAGATTTTAACATGCCACTCTCAAAAACTGTGTATTAACACGTTGTGTCGAGTATGCTTTTTTTTACCAACAACATAAAATAAACTCACACGAATTATGATTTATGTATATGTATGCTTTACTGTATTCTGATAGATAAAGTTAATTTTATATATGTATATAATCTTAATTTTTTCAAAGTAATAACATACAATTCTACAAGCAAATCAAAAAATTAGATAATACGTTACATTTTGTTTTTATATATAATTATTCAACATATATTAGTATACGTCAAGCATTTAACTATTATAAGAACAAATACGTGTTATAAAAATATAATGCAAATTTACATTATTATTGATAGAAAATGAACTCTACCATCATTATTAGCCAATATGGTTCTGCTTCATTATCGACAATATATACTTCGGGAAATATTTCAGATGTTGAAGTAATAGACATTGAAGAATTTATACTTTCCATTGTAAGAATAAAGTTGAATATATACAGTTATTCATACATATTATAGATCATACACGATTTACTGTAAACAAATATGTAATTCCAATTTGTGTAGAAGTTTAAAAATCTGTTTTTCTATTACAATGCTTAACATTAAAGTTAATGCGTGCATAGATAACAAATTAATTAGAAACTTAATAGGAAAATACCTAACGAAAATGAAAAATTAGATGATATTGCTCAAAAAATATTGATATTATCATTTGTTGAATTTTGATATATCTATTACTTGATAAATATATAGTATTTGCAATGTAAATCAGCTGTTAAGTAGTAAAAAAACCAAATTATGATATCTTGATAATAATAACACTATAAAAAATGCACAGTATAAATTATTTTAATAAATACTTTTATATGTAGCACCATAAAAAAAGAAACAAACTATAAAAGACTTGAATTAAAAGTTATAACCACGTACAAACATGCTTTGCATAAAATAACCAAAAATATAAAGTGAGTAGTGGATACTCTATTTTTAGATAATTGGAAACTCCCTAAGTGAACACTGTTCTTTATGTAGTGAAAGTTACTCTATAACAATAAATAATAAAAAGATTTAGATAATATTTAAAAAAAATATATTTTCATATAATTTTTGATAAGAAAAGTGTTACATATAAGTTTACTGATGACGTTGTTAAATTATCTGACATTTGTACTCTTTGTAAGTATGAATATATTTTCATGTATATTATCTCACAAATTAGTGTTATATAAGTTTGCTCTTTTTAATATATATATACCGACAACACACCAAATAGATAAATAAATATTTTCAATTATTTAAATATCAATTTAAAAAACTTATTGATATATTTTTTATTATCTTGCATTCATGTATTAAATACTTACATTAAACCTTGACAATGACAAATATAATATTTTTCTTAATCTATTTAATATTAAAATATTTCAATTTATAATTTTTGAACAAATAAATATAATATTAATGGACTAAAAATGCTGTGGTATACAAAATTAAAGAAAAATGAAATGCAGACAAGAAAAAAAATTTATTTGTTGCATGTGCCACGATCAGGAAACAAAATTTAACTAATATAATATAATGATTAAAATATAACTGTATAATCAAAAGATAGCAAAATACTTCTATACTATTTACTAATATACTAATACTCGATTATAATTACTGCTTACTCTTTTTGATGAACGATAAATAGAAGATGCAACAGGACCGATAAGATTGGATTGTACAGAATTGATATCGCCTACATAAAATATAGGTCGACTTGCACTCCGAAGACCCTAGAAAGAAAATTATTTAAAAAACTATTATATTAATGTTTTGTTTTATGTTAAAAAATGCATAGATTTCATTGACATAGTTTGTTTGTCAATATTATCACAATTTACTTGCCTGATAACCATGTTCCAATTCAGTGTAAGACATGTCAAATGAAGTTTCATTGATAAATAAGACTGGATTACTTTTCTCAGTTAATTTAATTATTAAATAAGTACGTTAAACATTGACGAACACGTTAGATTTATTTATCTAATATTTAACAATATCTATTTCGTTCGTAGTAGGACCGCCGGTATAAGAATGGAATAGCCAATCAATGTGGTGAATGGATTCCTCAATTAGGTTATGTTATACTGAGTGTCTAGTTATAATCATAGAATTTTATATCTTAGAACATAAATGAATTTGAAAAATATTTTAATACATAGAGAAGATATTCTTATTTTTGTCATTTATGTCATCACTTAGAATTACAACAATTTATGTATATATATATATATATATATATTGTAATCTAGAAATATTTAACAATACATTATAGGTTTTGCACTCCCAATTCAACTTGGAGTGAATTTAAAGTATTGTTAAACGGCTCTTATTTTATATTACACGACTTGGAGTAAAGCAAATTCATCCTTCTGCAAATAAAATTTTTCTATAAAACTTTTTTCTTATGCTTTTGTAAAAATAATCAAATTAAAGGTAAATTTATTGTTAAAAAATCAAAATTCTTGGAATTCATAATAAAGAAGTAGAATTTGATTTGTAAAAAGTTGAATTTGAAGTGCGAAACCTGCATTATTCTCTAAAATAGAAAAATAAGAGTAAATTATTTTTCAATTTTTAGTAAAACTGAGAAAGTATAAATGAAGAATCGTGATATTTATACAATAAACACTTAATAAGAACAATGAGTAAAGAAAGTAATTTAAATCATGCAATTGCAGGAGCTATCAGCGGATTTCTTACACGATTTACTTGCCAACCTTTGGATGTTGTGAAAATAAGATTTCAGGTAATATCACAAGTTTATAATATTATGATATTATTCAAGTATTTATATATTTCTTTTTATTCACAAACTCATATGTGTTTTATATTTGTTTATAGTTACAAGTTGAACCCATAAAACCGTACCATATAAGTAAATATCAATCTATTTTCCAAGCATTTTGGTTAATATTAAAAGAAGAAAGAATATTTGCATTATGGAAAGGACATTTACCTGCTCAATTATTATCTATAAGTTATGGGGCAGGACAGGTAAAATATAATCTTAAATATAAAAAAATATGACTGAAAATATTATAATAAAATAAAACTTTTGAAAAATTTGATCTTATTACAGTTTTATTCTTACAACGTACTTATGACGTTTTCTAATAGGAATTCAATCTTAAATGAGTGGAAGTATTTGAAAAATTTTATGGTTGGTGCAAGTGCCGGAAGTATAGCTACTATTATATCTTTTCCTTTTGATACAATTAGAACGAGATTAATAGCTCAGTCTTCTAATGATAAAGTATATAAAAGCATAATACACTTGTGTAGGTGAGTTTAATAAAAGAGATTTTTTACTGCAATTAACCTTTTGCACTATGATTTAACGTGCAGATCTACGTGCCAAAGTTGGTGCTATATTTTGTACTTCTTATGTTTGGCCTGTAAAATTCGTGTTTCTCATGTTTGGGTCATAAAATGTATCATGACTTTCACATATTATTATAGTGCAAAGGGTTAAAACAAATTTATTACGTAATCTATTTGTTGTAATTTAAAATATCTGTTTGTATCTTATTTGCAGTGTAATTTTACGCCAAGAATCACCGAAGGTCTTTTTTGCCGGATTATCACCGACATTGATACAAATTGCTCCACATAGTGGTTTACATTTTTTATTTTATAATTTTCTAATAGATACTTATAAAAAATATTTTAAAGAAACCAATATAAGCTTTTACAATTCTTTAATATCGGGTGCTGTGGCTGGTTTGATGGCTAAAACAATTGTATATCCAATGGATTTAGCTCGAAAAAGACTGCAAATCCAAGGTTTTAAAAATGGTAGGAAAGGATTTGGTAAATTTTTTGAATGCAAAGGTCTGATAGATTGTTTCAGAGTTACAATAAGAGATGAGGGTGCGAAAGGTTTGTTTAAAGGGTTATTACCGAGTCAATTAAAAGCTGCAATAACAACAGCTCTACATTTTACTTTTTACGAACAAGCTTTATTATTCTTAAAAAATATTTGATAATATTCATTTGAAAGATAATTATAGGCAACTAGAGAACAAGGAAACTATATTTTAAGAAAAATTAGTAACATTTAATTTATCATTTTTTTTATGTAATACTGGATATAAATAAAATAATAAACAAATATTAATATACATATACGAAAGTATTTGGATATTAACATTTTTAAAATTTAATGAATTAAATATGTATATTAAACTAAAGTATGTAAACTAATTTGGCATATATAATATTGGATAGATTTTAATATAACATGAGTGCAATTTGAAAATGATTCAAAGATGTACATAGTTTTTACAATGTGTTTACTATAAACACGTACGATAAGTGGACTACAGAAGCATTAAATTTTTTTTATGTTAATCATGCCCTGTGTTATTTGGTAATCATATTAAATAATTAATATACAATTATACTGATTCACGGTGTAAAACATATGCATATCATATATATATATATATATATATATATACACACACACGCACGTGTGTGTGCGCGCGCGGTAAGTAGCATGATATAAATGTATAGACCAATCAGAAAGATCTACCATGCAAGTCTTTTTGATTGGTAGTAAATCCGTACAATTATTGCATACCGTAAAACAGTTATTATACAAATTATATATAAATTAGCAAATTTTCAGACATGATAAATATTTTTTTTAATATTTAATATCACTTAAATGTAATTATGGATTAATAAATTGTAATGTTCTCGAACTTTCTAGAAATATATAAAAGGTAAAAGAGATCGATACATGGAAAGTATGCGCGAAAGATGAATTTGGAAGTTGTGCGCAGAATTGTTACCCCCACCACTAATTTTAGGAAGTAGAATCTTAGGTGACTCATATCCGGCATCTGCCTGGGTCGTTCTTTCTGTCCCTGGTAGCAGCGCGGGTAGGTTTAGTTTTCTACTATACTGTTCATTTTTTTTTATTTCATCATCTATTTTTATTCTTGATTCTTCAATACCCTCTCTAAACAATATTTCAGCGAAGTTATAATCGAATTATTTATTTTACAGAAATCTTTGCTGCTTTCAGTTAAAGAAAAAAAAAAAGTTTCAACGACTACACACCATATACATTCTCTTCTGGGACTAAAGCAGTTACAACTATTCAACATGTGAGTAAAGAAATTCAGTTTAATTTGATATCACTATTTTAGTAGGTATTTCAGAATTTTTATCGTTATTATTAACTATGAAACATGAGGTTTAATGGATTATACGCAGTGATTCATGGAAAATTTATAATATGATTGTGTAAATTTCTGGAACTTTCCATCATGCGCACATCGACAGGATTCGCAATGCGCGAAATTATCGAACCGTCCATAATGAAAGTATCCATTTTGTTCTCGCGTATACGATGAAAAAAAGGAAATTAAAAAATTGAAATTTCTAGAAGACATTATTACTTTCCTAATAACTATTAATTTACTTTCTTAGCTATGATTGGATTTAATTTTAATATTTTATTATAAATGTCTTCATTTAAGGATACGAACCAGGAGTACTATTCTTGGAATAATAAGAATTGGGTTAGTATTCTACTAATCCTTATTTTATTTTCGAACAAATATTATAATTGACTAATTAAAGTTAATAGCTAGAAGAATTTTGTAACAAAACATTTTATTTGATTTTTTAAGTAATTGTTTTCCCTCTATTTTTTTTTCTTTTTTAAACATTAACAGAACAATTATCATTTTCTGAATTCTTGCGTGGATAGAATTGTGCAATATAAGATTTACTTATAGAAATATATACGATTTACAAAACGAAATTAATTAGTAATCCTCTTATTTTGGCATGCCTCCATTTTGTATTTCGATGGAGCATGAATGCTTGTAAGAGGAAAAGCAAAATGTGAACTAATGCCTTCGGAGTCCACACACTAAAGTCTGGAACCGTTTCTCAATGTTCACTACAATTGTATACTTTACTAGTAAACTTCGGTTTTTCTTTAGTAATACATTTTTTGTTTATTATTTGTTTTTATTCAATTAAAGTAAGTTTACTTTATTTTTCCAGGACTTACGGATCTATGTCTGGTGGTTATCGTAGCAATGGCGCCAGCCATCGCGGAGGAGTAAGCCAAAGAAATGGGTATGGCAGTAGTAATACAAACAATAGATTTGGAAGTCGTAATGGCGGTACTGGTGGAAATAGTGGAGGAGGTCTTGCTAGTCGCGGTCAACGTAATGCCAATGTAGCTGGTACTAATTTGAGAAAACCTAATTGGGATTATGAAAATTTGAAACCATTTAAAAAAGATTTTTATGTACCACACCCGAATGTACAATCGCGTCATCCTCGTGAAGTCGATTCGTTTAGAGAAGAAAACAAAATTACTCTTAAGGGAGAGAAAATACCCAATCCAATTCAATTTTTTGAAGAAGGAAACTTTCCAGAATACGTTATGCAGGCTATTAGAAAGCAAGGTTTTACAGAACCAACTGCCATACAAGCTCAAGGCTGGCCAATTGCTATGTCTGGACTTAATATGGTTGGAATTGCACAAACTGGATCTGGAAAAACTTTAGGATACATATTACCTGCTATTGTACACATTAATAGTCAGCAGCCTTTGAATAGGGGAGATGGTCCTATTGCTCTCGTCTTAGCTCCGACTCGAGAACTTGCTCAACAAATACAAAGCGTTGTTAATGATTTTGGATCATTGTCTTATGTAAGGAATACTTGTATTTTTGGCGGCGCACCAAAAGGCAGCCAAGCACGTGATCTTGAACGTGGAGTTGAGATTTGCATAGCAACACCAGGACGTCTTATCGATTTCTTAGAACGTGGTACGACTAATTTACGCAGGTGTACATATCTGGTATTGGACGAAGCCGATCGTATGTTAGATATGGGTTTCGAACCGCAAATTAGAAAAATCATAGAACAAATCAGACCAGATAGACAAGTACTCATGTGGTCAGCTACTTGGCCGAAAGAAGTAAGAAATTTAGCTGAAGAATATCTAACAGACTATACTCAATTAAATATTGGATCTTTAACTTTGGCGGCTAATCACAACATCTTACAAATAGTCGATGTTTGTCAAGAACATGAAAAAGAATCAAAGTAAGTAGTTCGTAATTTCCTGAAGTTGTTTGTTTTAATCATACAAAAAGATAAATATTAGAAATATCTGTTAGATGATGAAATTGGTAAATGAAATTCTTTGATTGCATTTACACCTTTACTTTTACCTCTAAGAAGAACTGATATAAACAGATTTAATTTTATGAATGTTAATTTTTTCATATATATTTAATTATTGTCGAATTGATTTGAAAGATATTTTTCGCCAAGAGAAAATGAAAAAAAAAGAAAAAAGTAAACCTNATATATATATATATATATATATATATATATATATATATTTAATAAATAAAAAATAATATTAGTTATATTCAAATGTTTAATTAAATTTCAGATTGGGAACTCTATTACAAGAAATTGGCAATGTTAATGATGACGGTGGAAAGACTATCATCTTTGTAGAAACTAAAAAGAAAGTTGAAAATATCACTAGGAATATTAGGAGGTACGGTTGGCCTGCAGTGTGCATGCATGGTGATAAGTCGCAACAAGAAAGAGATTATGTTTTAAGAGGTATAATTCCCTTAAACTTTTTCATTTATTTTCATCTTTTTCTGTGTGTTGTTACACACACATTTGTAACAACAACATTGTTTAAAATTTTAATTTATTATAATTCAACAGAATTCAGGAACAAGAAAGGTTCTATTCTTGTAGCAACGGATGTTGCTGCACGTGGATTGGGTAAGTAATACATTTCTTCTATTTTATTATTTTTTAGAATAAAAAATATCTTGCAATTTAAAAAAAAAGAAAACAATTTTCATAACAATTACAATTCTAAGTCATGCAAATAAAATGTGTTAGTATAAATTCCGTGGATATTAAAGGATATATAGAGGGAGAGATGGCGATGTAGCACAGACTGGTTATATGAAGTGATGCCTCACTGTTCAATGGATAACGTGAAATAATGATCATTATTGAATAACAATTATTATATATTTTTGTAGGTTATATTCATAGTACTTTCATTCAAAGACAATGTAATCGTATATTTTGCATAAATCTGAGAATGCTGCTTATCAACAGTAGGATCATATTTTCAAAAACAAAATAACCAGTAACGTATAGGTAAATTATCAAAATTTTTATAAAATATCTAATCGCAGTTTCAAGTTCTAGTTAACGTTTAAAGTACTTTTTTTTTTTTTATAAGATAGGAAATATAGATCCTGCTATTAAACTGTAGTATTTTCAGAAGTGAGATACACTTTGTGTGAAGTACAAGTATATGATATATATTCTCAAACCTTACATAAGCTTTTTAAAGACCATAAAATAGAAGGCATTAGTTAGCTGGTATTTTTTTAAACAATAATTTTAGCTTATATATATATATCTTTATTTTTTATCAATAGATGCAACGTGATGAATGCTTTTAATTCTACACATATACAGGACAGTACATTTCAAACGTAATTAACTGATTTCTTCAAAATTATTTATTCTAGTGTCACTTGACGAATATGTCTTTCTTAAAATTATTTTTTCAAAAAATTATTTTGAGAAGAAAAGAAGCTAATGTCGCACTAACTTTTAATAATTTTGAAGATATTAATTTGTTACATTTTAGATGACCGACCTTGTGTACATAGTGAGTTTCAAATCTTTTATGCAATATAATTTTATACATATTTTTTATACACCGGTAAAATTAAATATTTAAGTTGACATAATTCTTTAACATCTTATAAATGAAACTTGCTATGTATTATTTATATATTCCCAAATTAACACGTACATACAGCTTTACTGTTTTTCATTTCAGTATTTGTACATGGAATTTATGTTTAATTTAATATGTACAAATTTATAATAATTTTTTTAATCAATTTTATAGGTGCAATTATACCAATTGTTATATGTCTACATTTCAATTATGGAGATGTATGGGAATTAGTAGATTGCGATTTCATTGTAAGAATTCAAAATAGTCATTTATAAGAGTTCGATAAAAAGAACAACAAAATTAGTATAAAACTATTCTTTGGGAAACATAGTACGTGTAAAGCATCTTTAAAAAAAAATTTTATTTTCTTTTTTATTTGTTTATTACTTTTGCAATGTTGTAATTTATTTTTAGAGTTTATTAATTATTTAAAGTTTATTGTAATGCTATCTTACGATTGAATGTTTTAAAAGTTTTCTAAATATTGATTAATTTTATTATTTTCTAATTTGCATTTAAAAAGTAATGATAAAAAATGTGTGCTTCCACCAGCATAGCTGTTGAATAATTTGCTAATGCAATCTATTCCCATTGTGTTAGTTCTGTGAGCTAAGACGAAGAGGATATGAGATGATGGGCTTGTGTCGAAGACTTGAGAAAACAGTTTTAATACGACAACAAATAAACTAAAAAATAAAAAAAGAATGATAATGATATGAAAAAATGAGAAATGGTTTATTTAGAGATATAAGTGTGGGCATCTTTTAATTTATGTTAATCAGTCTGGTTGTCTTTTGTTTCAGAGGCACATGGTGCACAAAATACGTGAGTGTGCGATGAAAAACCGTAAAGAGAAAAAAGTAATAACATGGCTCACTCATAGTACGTGCGCAATTTGCATAAAAAAAAATACTTGTACTTAATGTGCCTCTGTGTACAGCCTGTGTACCACGGAAGTATTTAGTGGTGCGCGGGCGTTATCGTGCTGGTTGGTTGTGAGATAAAACGCTGGTTTCCATTTTGGTACACCATCACACTTCATAGCCAATGCCCAGCCGGTGTCAGAGACAACAATCTATTGATTTTGCTACTATCGCTACTGTGAAGCTCACGACACAACAGTCCGTGATCTGAACTTGCATTCAAGACTACACACCCCCTGGTGGCACTTTATTTGCAGTCATACGGAATGCAATGTTCAGCAGTAACGGGTTTGTATTTATTATAATGCAGCAGACTTAAGGATTATAAAGTACGCATTAAATGCGTAATTTATAAACTAAGCTCATAATTTGTATCCTTTCATAATTTATAAAACAATAATTCCGGAGACAACGTTATTATATTTGTATTGTATTATTAGTCTCTCTTTTTTTCATTTTTTTTTTCTATTTCTCTTTACTATATTTTTTTTATCTTTCTCGCTCTCTATCAACTTTTAAGCTTCTACTTTTTATATTTATCTATAAAAATATTTTGATATGAATAAATATTAATTTTCAATTATTATCAGAACTTGTCTTCACTCTGTTGCGTGGAATTATTGATTTAGAATAAATGAAACTATAACTTTTATTTTGATCTATCTATTATTACAGAGAGAAAAAGATAACATTCTATTCTATTTTTCATTTATTTAATATTCCATTTTAATGAATGTACGAATGATTATAGGTTTAACTGCATATATACAATAGTAATATGTATATACATAAATATTTTTATGTAATTTAAGGAACAAATAATATTAAAAATTGTAATGCAAGATAGAAAGATAAAAATATTATCAGAGTCCTAGTGATGCTGGCTAAATTCTCTGCGCTTTCACATTTCTGTTTTGATATATACTTTTCTACTATACGAAAGCTAGAGACAAAAAAAAATAAATACTCGTTTAGATTCGTATGATTAAAAAAAAAAAAAATATGCGCATCTAAAAATCATCTTTACCTCTTTTACAACGATTATTTTTCTTTAGATGTTGACGATGTAAAATATGTGATCAACTTCGATTACCCATCATCGTCTGAAGACTATATACACAGAATTGGACGAACAGGACGTTCACAAAGCACAGGAACAAGCTACGCATTCTTCACACCACAAAATAGCAGACAAGCTAAAGACTTGATAAATGTACTTCAAGAGGCTAATCAAATCATCAACCCCAAATTATCCGAATTGGCTACGAGAACTGGTGGTGGTGGCTACAACCGCAGTAAGTTGTTTTATCAGCAAAATTTATTGAAAATATTATTAATTAAATATTACACACATATAAAAAAAATAATCATAATAACAACAATGAACTAAGGAAGTATAAATAATTTCAGATCGTTGGGGATATCAAGCACGTGGTAGGGAAAACACATTCTCCGGAGCACACAAACGTTTCGACAGTGCGAGAAATAATTATAACAGTTGATTGGACACGATATCTATTTTCATACGCGGTACTGAACTAGTTTTACATACAATTAAAACCTAATTTTAATTTCATTAGAAAAAGGAAGCTTCGTATAACTTATCTGTTAACACAACATCAAAGGGTTTGCGGAACATTATTATTAATTTTTTTTTTCATCTGGCCAAATTGTCTTCCTCCGTTTTGTCATAAATATTTATGATCGATTAATTTTATTTTTTTTTTTTTCGTCTTCTATTTCTATTATTAAGTCGTCAAGTATGAAATTCGTGATGCAACGTATTGTCAATTTTTTTTTTTTTTTTTTTTTTTTTTTTTTTTTTTTTTTTTTTTAAATAATTTATTTTATTCATACGTACAGACAGTAGTGTATCTGTACTGTGAATTATTATTTAAAAAAAATAAGGGGTAAAAAAAGAGAATAGGAGAAAAGCTTAAAAAAAAGTAATATTTGATTTTTTTACGATAATGCATCGTAATAATCGTCGCCGTATTTTTTCAGTAACTTTTCCTTTCCATGTAGACTTTTTACATGTTGAAATGTGTACGGAGGAAAATTAGATATATATATATATTTAAAGAATTATTATTTTAAAAGAAAGTGAAAGGAGAAAGCGGGAAAGTTCTCTTTAGTACTAAAGATAGTATCAGGCTCGGGGTGAACAAACTAAGAACTATAATGCAAATAACTCCCATTGTAATTTGATATTATTAGCAAACATATTTATTTTTTGACACTTTCTCAAGAAAAATGTCTTTATTTTATAAAACATCTTATTTTGGACCTTCATTCGAAAGAATTTATAAAAAAAAAGAATAGAAAAATAAAAAAGAAATATGTTTGATAATAATAAATGTGCCTGATGCCATCTTTTTTTTTTAATATTATAAACATTTAAGGATACAAATGGTTAAATCCATGCTTTTGCAATAATAGTTTCAGCATTTTTTCTCACTTCGTACCTTTGTTGAGAATTATTTAGACTCGTCTCAGTTGTATAATTGAGTGGTATAATAAGGGTATAAATAATTTAGTAAACTTGTCAGTATTCATTCCAATTCTTTGATATGATCAGATAAAACACAACTCTGATCGTAAGCAAAGTTCTTTTTTCAATCGTGTGTTGAGTGAATAAATTAGAGAGAAAGAAGTCATGATGAAAAAAAACTTCATTGTAGTGTTGTGTAGGACTACAAGAAAAGAAAAAAAAAATACATTTCCCCGTTCCATTGGAAAAGTTTTATACAAATAATGTTAAACAAAAAATCGAATTAATTGTTCAAAGGCAAATTATTCGCAAAATGATAAAATACTTACAAAAAAATTAAAAAACGATACAAAATAATCCTTCTACTATACAACAATATATTCTCCCATGACATTAAAAAAAGAAATTGATGTTTTTATAAAAGTGTTTAATTTTTTTTTTCAAATTAAATGATTGCACCTTTATAAGACTAATGCACATTGATGTATTATTCCTATGTTTACAGCAATAAAAAAAAAACCATTAACAAGTCGAAGGAAAATACTTAAATGCGTTTTTTATTTAATTTTATTATTTAACCCTAATTGTAAATTAATTAGGTTTTTCTGTTTTTTGAATCTATTACAATTTATTTTTATCATTAATTCTAATAGAATGTGTGTGTAATATAAAAATCTATATAGCACAATATACTATAGTAGGAAAGAAAGTAATATTTTGTGAGAGTTTTTCTACGTGTAGTATAACATTATTATAATCCTGTATGTGTTAATACATATTTTGTGTTCTTATATTGTTTTAATTATATTTAAATATTGTTTAGTTATGATTAGTAAACTGGTTTCGAAATGGTGGTAGATTTAGTATCCTAGTGGTTCCCAATAATACCAGTCCTGAAAGTAAGATAAATAATAGTCTAATAATAAAATAACCTTAAAAAATGTACAATATTTATAATACTATAAAATATAAATGTACTGAACAAAATTGGTAAAAAGAGAAAATATTGGTGTTGTAATTAATGCAATATACCACTTGCTAAAGTATACATCACTGCTTTTCCTTTAGTTTTTTGTAATTTCTTACTATTATAAGAAACATAAAGACCTGCTCCAATCAAACCACCACCACTAATAATTCTGCAAGCCAAACAATCTCGATTTCTGTTAGTAATTATACTGTTAACTGTGCTTGACATTTTGTATAATAATAGTAATAATATGTATATTAGTTTTCAACAAATGATTCAAGCTTATGAATTTGATACTTTAAGTTAGCCTAAATTGTCAGATGAGAGTATACTTCAGAAGAGTGTTTCGATAGAATAGGTTACATTCGATAACTTTCGATCTATTGAAAGTATCGTTTTCATGAACGATTTAAATATATATTTCGTCTGTAATTGAATGTATTTTGTGGATTTAATTTTACTACGATATAAAAAGATTAATTAAATTATCGATGCAATTAATATTAAATAATATTACATTAAATTGTATTACTACATTAAATTTATTTTATTTTAATTTGTTAAAATGGTGATAAGAAAATGTTGAAAATGACCTGAAATTAAATTTTATAATATATAAGTGTGTTCTACATTTATATATCTGTTTAAATTAAAATTTTTATCAAGATTTATAAACAAATTCTAATAAAAAGGATAAAATGTTTAAATTTGGATTCTCCAAAACAAATCACGGTAAAGATATTCATCTATTAAACATTTCATAATATTTATTAAAAAATAAATAAATTTGATATCATGTTTGAGGTTATACCACCTTAACTATCGTCGCCATTTTTATTGGCGCCATAATTTAAATGTGTTAAACATATATTTTATAGAAGATAATATTGATAAAGAAAAATCTACTCTTGATTGGATGGATGCATCTAGGATTGAATTAACATCATTTGATTACGATCGAAATTATGAACCTGATGAATATTTAGAAACAAAAATCTTTGATGAAATAAAATTAAAATTAATCCGTTCTGACAAAGTACTGTGCAACTTAATAAAAAATAATTCATTAAATATTATTGAAGCAGAATCACAGCATTCTGATCTTATACCTGCTAAATATGAAGGTATATCATTTAATTATAATTTAGTTATAATTAAAAAAAAGAAATTTTCTATAATATTTATTGTAAAAACTTATTTCTAACTATCAAGGTGGTTTGAAGATATGGGAATGCACTTATGATCTGATTGAATATTTAATTAAAGAGAATATAGCATTTGAAAATAAGTTAGTGCTGGATTTAGGTTGTGGTACTGGAATAATTGGATTAGTAGCACTCTTGAAAGGTTCTCTCGTTCATTTTCAAGATTATGTTTGTATATTTTTACTATTGTTTTACTATTTTTATTATCTAGAATATTTAAGATAACTTATATAATGCAATGCATATTTTGTACAGAACGTAGAAGTAATTAAGTCAGTTACTATATCAAATGTTCTATTAAATTTTGAAGACAAATGGAAGATATTAGATAAGTGTGAATTTTATTGCGGAGATTGGGCATCATTTGTAATGCTTTTCGATAATAATGAGGATCAAAAGTATGATTTTATTTTTACCAGTGAAACTATTTACAATCCTGAAAATCATAGAAAATTATATGAAGTTTTTAAAAAGAGATTGAAACCTAATGGCATCGGGTAAGAGTAATATCTATTTCAGGATTTTCATAAATATTAAATAACTGATTATTTTAGATTCGTAGCTGCGAAGACGTATTATTTTGGCGTGGGAGGTGGGATGCGTCAATTTGAAACTATTGTAAAGGAGGATCAAATGTTCAACACTGAAGTGGTATGGAAAAATTCACAAGGTTAGTAACAATTGCTGAAAATATATTTTTTCTAATATTCATAACAATTTTCTCTCTCTCTCTCTCTATAAGTAATATCATAATATTATTTTATACTTGTTTATTTTAGGCCTACAAAGGGAGATATTAAAGCTTTCCTGGCTTAAAAAAAAATAAAATAAAAATAAGAAGAATATGTATATGTAATCTAATTGAAATTTAAAAGCATTGGAAGACAAATATATAACTAATTACAACAAATTCTAATTATTAAGGCGATAATCTTTCATACACCCAACCATTTTTTCCTTCGTGAACGAAAATATTATCAATTTTTTCGTTAGGTTTTGACTTTCTGAAAACAATTCTATCATGCAAGCGATCACTTTGCCCTTGCCAAAATTCTATTGACTTTGGTCTAATTAAGTAACCACCCCTAGAAAAATTAATAAATTGATTTTATACATGATGACTCCACATATAAGAAAATTAATCAAAAGAGATTCAAAAAAGTATTACCAATAGTCTGGTCTTTTAACTGTTTCTTTAGTATTCGTAGCAAGTAATTCCTTTTCTCTCACGATAAGAGTTTTCCTGTTAGCAATGACGGAACTTTGATGACTTGCTATCGATCCTATTTGACTAGGATATGGTCGACTATGAAAATATCTATCTGAATCTTCAGCTGAAGTTTTTTCAGCTATTCCCTCTATTCGTATCTGTAATATTCGATAAATAAATTAATAGTATTACAAATTAAAAGATTATGATTTATAAATGAATAAAAATAATATATTGTACAGCTCTGTGTAATGGTTCCCAGTAGAGGGTCATTGCAACATTAGGATTTTCTTCCTAAAAATCAAATTCAATTTAATTTTTATTCTCCATTCTAAAATAATAGAAAATAATCAAATTTGAGCATGTAAGCTTACTATTTCTCTACCCTTTCTGCTATGATAATTAGTATAAAATTTAAAACCTTCCGCATTATAATCTTTTAATAGTACTGCTCTTACAGATGGAAAGCCATCTCTGAAATAATATTTTATTATACGCTTTCTATTATTAAAGTTTAATATAAAGGGTATCTAAGGTTTTTCAAATGACCTATAATTGTATACAATTTTTACCTTATTTTTATGCATAGAATATGTTGACACTATTTGATCAGAAAAACCGTAGATACCCAATATATCTAAGAAGTCAAATTACTTAGTTGCAGTTCCAAGAAATGCAGCATTTGGTTCGGCTATATACGGCGTATGACATGCTTCTGTAAACCATGCTCTGAATTGTTCAATCGGATCTGTGCTTACCAATTGATCTTCCGTGAAAGTTTCATTCCTATTTTTATATCTTATTCGCATACCTAAAAAATTATAATTAAAAATAACTATTAAATAAAAATATATATATATAACTATTATCGTCACTGTGTAAAATTATTCAAAGAAATCTGGCAAAGTTATAATATAATTTAATTAAAAATCTATTTTCATTAGAAGTTATAGTGTGATTAAAAATAATAAATATATATATTAGAAATTTACCTCCTATATCAATATAATTTAGAGTCAAATCTTGGGGTTTATCCGACATGATTCCTTCCAACGTTAGAACAATAACACGACTGATTACACGTTGGTAAAACGTTGCTAGTTATTTAATGTTTCAATCGATACGGCCGTGGAAATTTTTAGATAATACAACTTTAAATAAAAAATTTTATTTTAATGGATCTTTCTTATTTAAATGTTCCTCATTATTGATTATCACTATAGTTGTTATCTTTTATCTTATTGCAAATATACTTTAATCACTAGATTTTAAATTAAATTTGTATTTTATTCAAGGTTATTTGATCGGTTTTCCTCTCAAACCGTTATCAGAGGTAAATACAGTACCGTATTATGAGCTAATTGGTGCCAGGGTTAACATAATTATTCTTACTCATTTTCTTAGAATTCTTTTTAGTCATTCTTTAAATGTTATTTATCAAACTGCAGTCTCGAGGAACGATAACCTATTCAACTCTTTCTACTTGTGAGTAATATTTTTTTATTTATCAATAGTTTGGAATATTTTAGAAATAGAAAACTTTCATTATGTTCGTCAAACACACTTATATTTGTATTTAATTAATTGTAAGAAAGTTTTGTAGTACTCTGTCCTTGTTTATTAGTGTTTTCTAATAATCAGATAGTTTTTATCATTATTTTATATTATACGTAAAATGTAGGTTAAATATTTAAAACATGAGTGAATAAATGCAGTGGTGTGGAACAAAATGAATATTTATGAATTTCAGAGGAACTTCCATTAATTTAATATAATTTTTAAAGATTTTAACAATTTTTATAATCATTCGATATAATAAATTTGTTCAAGTAGATTGATGATATTTAATATAATAAGCTTAGAAAACATTTGAATGGTACCAATTGGAAGTCGTTATTGTAGTATTTTCTTATTTAAAGTTTATCAACAACGCTTACTTATTTTTCAAGTAATATACTTCTTCATATTATTTTAGTTTTTCCAACAGTGCTCTTTCTTAGTTTTCATATGACATTCTTTTCATGTTGTCACAGCTTTTTTTGTTTTATTTACTTTTCTTGATAAAAAATATATAAACTATTTATGTATATATATATATATAAATATATTTACTTATTACGATAATAAACATTTGTATTTATTTCTATGATGAGTTATTGTAATAAAGTAGGGATGATGTGTTCATAAAAAATAGAATCGATTCTGTGTGTAGAATGTTTGGATATGTATAACAAGTGAAAAAAAGAGGAAAAAGCAGTTACAAACAAATAATTTATATATTAAAAAATTAGAGACAAGAGAGAGAGAGAGAGATTCACGCAACACGTTCTAGCCATTCTTGTAATGCTGTCATTTGAGGCGGTGTTTCAGGATCTTTGACAAAGGCACTCGATTCGGCAAATGTAACTTTTGAATTGAGTTGATGGAATTGAAAGTCTTTGCTATGTTTTCCAAGAAGGGTGTTTTTAAATGACGCATCCATAGTTTCTAGTTGATTAGGTTTAGTCAGTTTTAAAAGATTCATTTCTTTTTCCAGTAATGATTTGATTACGGAATAACCCTTAGCCATAGTTTGATCCTGTTTATTGCACAAAATTAATATCGGTAATCTTCTGACTTCATCTATATCTGACAATAAGTTGTATAAATATCTAAAAAAATATAATTTATAGATTGTTTTATGAAATATTAGAAATATTCAGATACAAGTTAGTATATTAGTACTTTCAATACTCACTCTGCTACATCTCGAATATTTTTCTGAAACGTAACAGAATCAACGACAAAAATAATTGCTTTCGCAGCTAATTTATATTTGTCAAAGAATTCATAACGTAACCGCTCATCTCCGGGTAGAGCAACAATCCTTAATGTTTTCTGAATGAATAATTTATTAAAATTATTAATACTTTAGGTTTGAAACTGCTTTTCGATAGATTGTTATTTCATAAATTGTTAAATATGTTATTAATATTATTCGCAGACTTACATTATTGATTACCATCTCTCCTATATTTTCTTTAACAGATGTATAAGTTTCAACAAATTTGGAATGAACCAAACGCGAATGTATCAAAGTTTTTCCAGCATCGCTAAGTCCAGTCAGTAATATAGTCTGACCGATAAATTTTTTTTTACGCCATTTAGCAATCACTACTATTGACAAAAACAAAATTATCCCAGTTTTAATAAATACGACAAAAAGGAAAAAATACCAGCGTAGTTAAACATACAATCGAATCAAAATGTTTCTATTTTTTTATTACGCGATTCATAACAGAATGTTTTATATCATGTGTTTATTAAACTGTATCCTACTAATAGTGTATATTGTACACTCGTATAATTACTATACAAAGAAGCAAAATACACTATGCGCTTAATAGAATTTTTCTGTTACCAAAAGTGAGTATTAACGATATAAAATAATTATGTTCTATTAATATGATTTGATGATTGACAAAATAAAGATTTAAATGGACATGTGTTTTTATCTATGCACACAATAAAGTTGGATATGACGTTACGTATAATATTAAATCACTTTTGGTAACATTTTTATATAAAACTAATGAATCGAAATACACGATCATGAAATTTTATCATATATAGAAAACGAAATAAAAAATGAAATTCAATATAAAGAGACATATGCGTGAGCTAACCTATAAATTTTATTTATTTAATTACCTAAAGTTATTATTAATGCCACAATAAATGTAAGAATAATTTTTATCGGTAATTCAAATTTTTCATTTGGACGATTCGTATCTTCATCCATTGTTAAAATAATTTTACTTTTATCTCAATAATTCGTATAGAAACACACGTGTGTCAACGATATCACTTATCACCCGTCTTCTCTCTTATGAACTGCCATATTGTTCTATAATCATTTTTATCGACGCTTATGTCGATATTACAGATTTCAAATAATACGATCGATAACTACTTACCACGTGAGTTACGTGGATTAATCAATAGTTTACGCATTTGTCCGTCAGAGGAAAATTAAAATTTTTAAATCTTTCTCTTAACAATTACCGCGCTACAATTAAAAATCGACGAAAATTCATTCTGAATAATTATTCTTAAAACTAATTCATTGTTACTTATGTTGCACAAAGTAAATCTGTTTACTTTAAAAAAAAAAAATGAAATAACGAAAAAATTAATTAATTGTATAATAAAATAAATAAAAATATCTTTTTTGATTTCTTGTCTCCCAAAACCAACAAGAACGTATGTTTTTATAGTAGAAAATATAATGGTTGATATTAACATTGCAAATGAATCTTCCAAAAATAATGGAACAAATCGTAGAAAAGAAAAATTTATTTGGATGATGGAAAGAGAGAGAGAGTACTGTTATTAACGTCGATGGAATAAATATGCAAGAAACAATTTTGGAGGGAAAAGTTACCATTGTTACAAATATCAGTTCATCCAGTATTTTATTAAAAATATATATTAATTTACTCCCTTTGCTGCTAATCTCTTGTCACGTTCTTCCGCAATGGAAAGCTTGACACCTTTATCTCTCGGTAAACTGATATATGCCTTCAGACCTTTGCCAATGATAAATACGTTGTTCAACCTACGTAAATTTTTCGTTATTAGAAATTGTTCATATAAAATAAATCCATTGTGCATTTGTATCTTTTGTAAGAAATGCAGAAAATCCATAAAAACGTAATCAGTGACCATAACAAACTAAATTTCATTTGGCCACGTTGAATACAAATGGTCTTATAGCAGATACAATAGCTTCTCATCCCGTGGCTAAATTAAAATAATTCATTTAAATGCATTAACGTACCTAGTGGTAAAAACGTGCCCTTGAGARTCTTTCATATGRCAAATATCAAAAGATCCAGGATGCCGTTCGCGACTAACGACCGTTCCCACACGACCYAAATTCCTTCCCCCAGTGATCATACACAAATTACCTACATGTAAAGAAGTATAGATAATGTTTAATGTTCAAGAAAAATTCTTATAACTAACGTCTCACGTTAATATATTGACGATAAATATTTACCCGAATCGAAACGAATAGAATCTAAAATTTTGCCACTGGCAATGTCCAATTGAATAGTGTCGTTAACTTTGATAAGTGGATCAGGATAACGAATAGTTCTTCCATCGTGGGTAACWAGGAATGGAATTCCCTTGGGACCGGTTTGGACTCGCTTAACTTTGCATAATTTGTACTATAAAGAAAAACAATATATGGGATAAGAATGATCCATATGAAAAATAAACAAAATTAGCAAAAGTATTTTGAAAATACCTTGGCTTCTTCCGCAGTGATACGATGAATAGTGAAGCGGCCTTTTACATCATAAATTAAACGGAAAAATTCACCAGTCTTTTCGATGGTTATAACATCTGTAATGAATAAAACAATTAATTAATACATTCCTGTAACAACTGTAACACTTAAGTATGAATATAACATTTGTACTCCTTCTGGGTAATACAGCAAGAATATTTWTTTCAATTCAACCTGCGACCAAAAGAAAGGAGCCTGTTTTTTTTTGGCCAATTATGACTGCAGTATTTATTTATAAAAAGTACAACAGCTTCGATRAGGCCATGGAAAAATAAAATATGACGTTTTATGTACCCATAAAACCAGCAGGATAATTAGGATCTGTGCGTACTTTGCCATCAACTTTGATAAGTCGTTGCATCACGATCTTAGTAACTTCGCAGTTGGTCAAAGCATACTTCAATCTATTACGTAAAAATATAACCAAAGGAAGCGATTCTCTAAGCTTGTGTGGTCCAGTGGACGGACGAGGTGCATAAACACCTCCCAATTTGTCCAACATCCATGCTTTAGGTGCATTGAGACGCTTTAAATGTTTCTTAGGACCGCGAGCCTAAATAAAAAAAATGAAACATTTAATAAGAAATGTTAATAACAGAAACGTGTATAATATGTTAACGCGAAAATATATAAATAAAAAAATTTTTACGATAAATGAATTTCTTTACTTAGGTTATAATAACAATGTGTACTTTCTACAACARTAAATAATTATTATTTATAAATATTTTGTTACATATCAGCAACCCAATCATCTAAAATATTGAATATAAAAGAAAGAATACCTAGTACAATAGAAAATTGTAATCTTTAATGTAAAAAGAGAAACCCCGCACGCCTTACAGAATAGTGTTTTTCAAATTCTTTCGACACAATTTACTATATATATAAAATTAATCAATTCCAATGACCATTAATTAATACACAATACACTTCATGTAAAACTTTTTGATTATTTTGCATTATAAATTCGATGCAAGCAGATATCAAATAGATAACTTAAAGCTAACTTACCATCTTGGTATTCTTAACCAAAAAGGCACGTTCAATTCCTCGATGAGGCTACACAAATCCGGTTGAGAACATTAACATGTTTCCGATAAAACGTTCTCATTCCTACTGCCCAATCCTAAAAAACCACATGGCTTCCTTGAAGACTCTTTGTACCTAAAAATTTCTTTCTAGGGACTTTACTTTTGAAACTAAATTTCCCTACATAGTGCAGGTATGATGACAACAAACGATATTCGATTATTAACTATCGATTCTTTCACACACACATCTATCGATTATTTTCATTAATATTTATTTTTATTATTCTGAAATCATAAAATTGTTTTAACAAACTATCCAACTAATAGAACTAGTTTCAAATGTACAAATTGTGTTTAAAAATGCTTACAGATCTCGAATTAAGTAAAATTACTATGATAGGAGATTTGATCGTTATAAAAACGAAGCTATATACAAGGAGGACGATTGAGTTAGGCGTTTTAGTCGAATTTGTGTTGTTGAAAATGACTAAATATCGAGTACGATAATTATCCACGAGGGCGGCGGTGGTGGTGTTCATAAGTTCAGATTTAAGTACGTGTGATTTGATAAATAAACAAATGAAACAAATAGTTTTCTTTGCTATTTTTGTTTTAATCACGAGAAGCCTCTTAATTTAATTAAGGATTAATTAAAGGATTAGGATTAATTTTCTTACAGCTCAACAGGTTATTTTATATTGTTGATTTTGTGGTTAACTGTTTAAGGTAACTAGCAATTACATTTGACATGCAGTATTATTCATTTTTATACTAATTGAATTAAAGATAAATTGATTCCATTTCACAATTTTTTTTACAGATATATAGGATGATTTATCGACATTTTTTGACTTTGTGATATCATAACCAATAAATTCTATTTTTTTCCTAAATTAAAGGTAGTTTTTTTCATATTTGAAAAATCAGACCATGCGACTAGACGCGCTCTCTAGTGGCAATAAAAATCGTCCTTTCATTGTGAATATTGTAGCCATATTTATAACATGGCGATCGTACTCCTGTGGTAATAATATAAACGAATATAAAAAAAAAGAACGCTATGAAATAAAAGTTCGATCGTATTATCGATAATCAAGAATTATTTTGTTATCCTTTTCTTTTTTCTTTTTTTTTTTTTTCATCAATCATTTTTCACGTTCTATCGTTCATATTTCTTTCGTAAAATATATAGCGCGATCGCTTGTTATATTTCATTCTCGAACACGCGGAGAAAAGTAATAAGTAAGAAAAAGGAAGAAAAAGAAACGGTCAAAGGAGTTTTATACGAGCGAGTTTCACGGCTATTGGGTCGTCGTGGCAAATTTATTGCTTCATCCTTTTTCTCTCCTCCCCCTCCCCCCACCCCATATGCTTCTCTCTCTCTCTTTCTTTTTTTTCTCTTTAGATCAAGATTCGAATCTCTTGGGAAGAATTTCTTGCGGTATAACTACTTGTCAGTCAGTTGCTGTTATGGTCAAGACACTTCAGCAAGTTCTCCTTGCTTATTCGACGTCATCCCTAGAGACTTTGAAGTAAAAGCATAAGAACGCTTTTACGGTAATACATTGGCTAGATCATTCAAAGCTTGATCCTCTTTTGTATAAAGGATTAATGTATCAAGGATGTCGAAATTGTATTCAATTATTCAATAAATAACACGGAACGTGGAACGTGCGAACACATATATACACATTTATTAACAAATATATAATATTAAGAAATGTAGATAATTGAAATATATAAATGTATGTGATTATTTTGGAAATATTATTTTTGAATTTAATTATCAATATTCTTGTCCAAAAATATATTAATATATAAGTCTCAAAAGGGAATTATAAACGGTTAATAAATCTAATGAACAATTTATTTTGAACTAGTTGTACGTTTCGTCCCTTACTGGGGACTTCATCGGCAACTAAAAAATTAAAAATTAGAATTTATTGTAATGTTTTATATTTATTAACAAGTCATAATAAAAAATTTTTTTAGTTGCCGATGAAGTCCCCAGTAAGGGACGAAACGTACAACTAGTTCAAAATAAATTGTTCATTAGATTTATTAACCGTTTATAATTCCCTTTGAGATTTATATATTATTTTTGAATATTTTCGATATTCGAATCATTCGAGTACTCTCGTGGACGAAACGGTTATTCTCTCTTTATGATCACTATCCCCGACAATGGACCATTAACGTAAGGTAGTTTCCAAGAGCCTGTCCATATATTTTTTCGAGCTTTGTCCTGCTACCAACCAACGAACCAACGAATGAACGAACTGAAGAGAAAGAAAGAAAGAAAGAAAGAAAGAAATAAAAAAATAAAGAAAGGAAGGAAGAAAGAGAAAGAGATATATGGTGGTAAAAAGGGGTACATAAAAAATCAGGACACTCGAGATCTGAGGCTGTTGCTGTTGCTACTACACTACCGTAAAAGACATCGAGCTCATGGCAAAAGAGAAAGAGAAAGAAGAAGAAGAAGAAGAAGAAGAAGAAGAAGAAGAAAAGGAAAGTAGTCGCGCACGCTCGATCGGCATAAAAAATATATAATACAAAAAAAAAAAAAAAGAGAAATAATAAAAAAAGAAACAAAAAGAAAAGGGGTGTGATAAAGTGCAGCGAGAAAAAGAGAATCTTAATGCAGAAAGAGAGTGCGAGAAAGAGAGAGAGAGAGAGAGAGTAAGTAAAAGAAAGACAAAGATAAATATTCTTTCCTTTCCGAGTCGCGCGCGAGTTAACTTCTTACAAAGGACGAACAACTGGAGTAAGAAAGCGTAGGATTGTAACGCAAAAAAGGACCGCCCTACCAATACACCATCTTTCTGTTAACGTTCTCCAAACGAAGAATCTGCAATTAGATTGCGAAAAAGGAAATGCATACACTCGAACAATACTGTTTGTTTCTTCGATCGTAAAAATATCTTCTGTCTCGAAAAAGTTGTCAGAGTTTTCGTTAAAATTAACGTTGTTAATCGTTTCTCGTATATATGTACAGGATTTATATTCAAATCTGACATAATGAATACTTAAGATAAAATATTTAAGTACGATAAAGTAATGGCTGGAAATGAAACCGACTTGGATTTCTACCAATCCTATATTTACGTTCTTCCATGCTCCGATACTTTTCAGCATCCTTTTGATCTCGCGAATTCGTGCTCGAACTATGAAAGAAGCAACTTTGTAGCCTAACACCGTCGTAAAAGTTTCTTTTTTTTATTATTCTTTCTCTTTATATATATATATATATATTTATATCATATTTTTGTACTCTTTTTTTTCATGGTACATAAATCTTATAAAGGAATGAATACGACCGTTAGAAATATAAAACCGGCTGCTGCTCTCTTTTTCTTTCTTATGTCGAGAGAGAACAAAATGGTCGAAAAGCTATTAAAAATATTTGATTCTTGCTACAAAGTATCACACGCGATAGATGAAAAGCATTAATCTTTTTTTTTTCAGCTGACATTGACGATGGCGGCCTTAATAAAATCTTACAAATTCGTCGCAGAGAGGGTAGTTTATGGTGTTTGACTAAGTACCAAAGGATCTTTACTTTTCGAGTGTTCCATATCTTTCCTTTTGTTATATTTATATTTCTAAAGTCGGTCTTTTTAAATCGCAAGGGTGACGGTTATAAGCATTCAGAATGAATTAAATCGACCTAATTCGATCAAGGATGAAGAAACAAATCGTAATTCATCTTCAACTTAACCGATAGGTTTAAATAATAAAAGAAAAAGAAAACAAAAAACCAAACGAATTGAATTAAAATTTAAAGGAACACACGGGATTTGAAATTTTTCGTTAATTTTACAATATAAAATTTTACAATATAAAATTAACATATTTTACATGTTATCTCGATAGAAACATTTTAGAAATATAAATTACAATATTATAATTATTACGATGTAATGAAAATTACGTACGACAAAATTCATAAATATTCGTAGTAAGAAAGGTTTTAAGGGGTTTTTGGTCTCTACGGTAGAAACTTGGAAGGACAAAAAATATCTGGGAAACTAGTTCATCGTTGGTTTCCATCTAGCGTGAGAAAGATATGTTTTTATATACATACATATATATATATATATTTTTTTTTTATTTGCCAAGATATTCTTATCCACGGACGTTGGTTCGTAAGGGAACCTTCGAAAGTCCGTCTAGCGGGAGGGGTTAGGATCTTGAAAAGCAGTGAACCCTTAAAAAGAACTCCGATCCTTCCTTCTATTCTATGTTGGCTTGGATATCCCCCAATTTTTGGAAATTCTTACGTTACCTACCGACTCCACTTCGTTTTCAATGCGATGAAGAGAGAACTTCATCGGCCAAGAAATGTCACGGGAGTGGTGGTAACGAGGGTGATAAAGTAAAGGCGACAGCCATTGTTAAATTTACAAAGGAAAGGATTCGAAAAACGTTCTCATACCGCCCCAATCCCAACCCCCTTTTTCCGCCCCCGTCCCCATTTCAATTTAACTCAAAACCCGTGGAATCGTATGACGCAAGCTGATCTGATTTCTTTTGGTTAACCGGCTATTTGAAAAATATTGACGAGTTATCTGATGGCAATCGATCCAAATATTGATCGATTATCCCCTTTCTAAGAATTTCTCTTATTCATTTTGTTCCATTACTTAAATATATAATTATATCTTTTGATAATTTTATAATAATTGTCAACAATCATCTCTCGTTGTTTTTCGAAATCATTAAAATAATAATATAAACGAATGTGTAAATAAAAGGAGAAAAAATGCAAAACAAAAGAGATTTTGCGTTTCAATTTGTAACGCTAGTAAATTGTTATTTTTTATTAAAACAAAAAAAAAAGAGAATGTAAAGAATATTTTCAATGCCGACAAATATTATACTACAAGTGGGCAAAGGGATAAAAGAAAATTTAGAGAAAAGCTTAGATTTTTGTATGTAATATAAAAAAGAAAGTACATAACGGAGGAATGGCGTTTGGTTCTCTCGAAGATCAGAATCATGGAAAGATCAGTTTTTTATATTCTTATGGAGGAGGGGGAGGGGGAGGAGAAGATAGAAACCCGTTTCGCTATCCCTTTCCGCCTCCGCGATTTCCGTGCCACGTAT